TCCAAGCGAGCGAGCGAAAAGGTGACGGGCAGGCAGAGCGTGGCTGGGATCTCATCGGAGAAAGTTGGCAGAAGGAAGTTATTGTCGATGACTGCGAAAGAATGCAGAATTGTGATGATAGGGGATTTGTGGAGATGCCTGGAAATGTTGATAGACCATGTAGGATGGAGGTATGTGATGATGTGGCTTGGCAGGACTTTAGGGCCCAATGTCAAGATTGAACACCGATGAGATGTATCATCGAAGAGAACGAGAAGGTCAGAGGTCAAAGTCCCGAGTTGCGACGCACAAACTTATGATGGTAAGCAACAGTGAAAGAGACAGCAGTTCTCCTCCTGCTGCACAGCTGCAGGGATTGAGAAGAACGGCAAGCCAACCGCTCCAGCATGTGGCAGCACAGATTCAGCGGGAGGGGCTGTAGGTAGGAGGAGGAGCTCACATGGAAGGACAGGAGTGTTCCTTCGTACTCAGAGCTCGGGGAATCTAAGGAAGCACCTCAATGCGCCTCCGAGCCTCTCGCAGGCATCTCATACCTCCACGAGGCGCAAGGAGACAGAAGCGCCGCCCCCGCCCTCCAAGCATGCGAGGAAAGCGCAGGAACCAGCGCGCGTAGGTACGCCAGGAGAGGCGCGAAAAGCAAGTCGACTGGAGAGGCAGCAGCAGGGAGGGTTTCACCTCCTTAACTCTCAGCTGCAAGCTCTTGCGGGCGAACGGAGCAGGAGCTTGTCGCATCTGCGGGAGCTTGAGAAGACATTGACGACGTTGAGGAAGGGAAACGAAGCTGCGAGAGGAGCTGAAGAAGTCGTGGACCCTGACGAGGAACCTGAGAAACCTCTTCCATCCCCTCGCATCCCAAAGGTAGTTTGCGACCTACGAAAAGCCGTGCAGAAGTCCAGCTTCCTCCTACAGCAAGTCGCCAAGCTGAAAATGAACGCGTCAAGCTCGCAAGGTGATGATACACTGATGGTGATCATGCCGTATGTTGCTCCCTTCCTCCCTTCCCCTCCTCCTCCCTTCCTTCCTTCCTCCTTCCCCTCCTTCTCCTGTTCTTCCTCGATCTTCCTCCGCTTTCCTCTCTCGCCCACAAGTCTCTGCTCCTCTTCTCCTCTGTCCTCCCATCCCTATGATCTTGACTTTGGAACAGCAGCTCGAGCTCGCCGACGGTCCTCTTTACTGAGAAAGTTCAAGAGCTTGCGGGTATTGATTCCCTCGCCGGAGAATGGGAGGAGGAGGAGCGTCGCCTCAGCCCACACGGGAGGGTCGACGAGCAGGAGACGCAGAGCAAGTGAGGCAGGGAAGTTCCTTGAGCAAGGTGACTCACATGCGGGAGAAGGGAAGTGAGCGTCATGGTTTGCTGATATGTGGCACAGCTGGGGTAACGAAGCAAGAGGATGCGAAGGAAAGCCAGGAAGATAGAACGGAATTGAGAGAGAGCGCGAAGCTTTGTAGCACGACGAAGTCACCGCAGGTTGTCAGATATCTTCCAGGTAAGAATAGTCTCATCCTCCTGCTCTTACCGAGTCATTCAGCTTATCTATCCTTTCTCCCGCTCGAAGTTTCTCTCCCTTTCTCCTCCTCCTCCAAATCCTGTCCTGCCCCCCTCTTCTCGTGAATTTCCTCCCTTCTGATCGGTTGGTCGATGAAGGTGTCGGTCGGCGACTCGTCAAGGCAAAGCTGTTCGCTGCTCGAGTGTTGGCACACACCAACAGCAAGGATGAGGAATGCAAGCTCGGGTGGCTGTGAGAACGAAGTGGGCGAGAAGGTTGTCTTCAAGGTTGTCATCGAATGTTTGGGCGTGAACGAGGGTGGATAATCGTCAAGCGTGTAGTATGAGGCATCTTCATCCTTGACTCTGCGTTTCTCCTCCTCCTTCATCCCAGTCGCCTTCGCCTTCTGAATGGTCCCAGCCATTGGAGCTTGACAACAGATCCTTGAGCTGTACAAGTCCCATCAAGGTGGGGAAAAGAATTACATCTCACAGAGATTCGAATGGAGGCAGAGCAAGAGAGCTAATGAAGAACAAGAGAATCAAATCTCACGATCCTCCATCTCACATTCTCTCCATTACGCTCCCTTGTGTACATGTCATGCAGGAAGATCCATTCTTCCTAGAGGTGCAAGTAACACCACTCGTCACATCACGTGTCTCAAATCTCAACCCAACAAACCTTTGCTTCTTCTCCTCGAAGGCAAACATTTTCAATATCTTTAACATCTCTAACAGGCATTCATTGATCAGAGCCAACCCCTTTAATTGTACCTCACCGTTCATAAAACATGCTGATGTATCTGTCGGCGTACTTCCCAAATCCATCCATCTTTTCGAGAATCAAAGCTGACAACACCTCTTCAACAAAGCACAGAAAGTTCAACTCTTCACCGTAGTTTTCATGAAACTTGTCTTTGGAGATCTTCTCGCCCGACCTCTGATGGTATCATGACATCTCTGCATCTCGCGTAGCAATCAGGGCAAACTCACGGGGTCTTCGATTGTCTTCAGTTCCTTTGCGTCTCGGAGGGCATTCCATGTGATCCTGGTGAAACTCAACAAGTCTCCGTCTTGCGCTGTCACCATCTCAACTGCAGCTCGCTCATCACCCGGCCAACCCAACCTTGCTTTCGCCCTCCCTGCTGATATGGCAGACAGTTGAAAGCGCTGCTTGAAGGGATGGAAGACTGCACAGCAGACAGTCAACAACTGCTGAGACCTGAGAAGAGGAGCAAACATTCGAGTCGACGTATGAAGAAGTCGGTGAAGACAAACAAGAGGAAGAGGAGTTGTCGCATCCACCATGCAACCTATTTCATGTTGTCTTCTCATCTTGCATTCACAATCATCAGACTCAATTTACTTGAGTAGCAACGTTGCTGCCTTGGCTTGACTTCGAATCGATAGCTTTGGGTTATGGTACTTTGTTCCTGGCAAATTGTTGAGGCCACGGACAGGAGGGCAACTCATCATGCACAACAGCAGCAATGAAACTTTTTCTCGCAACAACTTCATCTTGTTGAACGTACTCGCGAAGATTCGGACCGCCCTCAGGATCACCCACAAAATAATCCGTCCACACCCTCAAGGCAGCTGAACTGACAAGATTCGTGCCCGATTCCTTTTAATCCATGAATCGCAAACTTCCATTCTGTTGGTATATCAGTACATGAGTCATCCCCTCTCCTCTCCTCGCCTCGCCTCGCCTCGCCTCGCCTCGCCTCTCCCCTCCCCTCCTCGCCTCGCCTTCCCCTTACTTCCCCCGCCCTCTCCTCTCCTCTCCTCGTCTCTTCGCCTCTCCCATGCTCTCCCGCTATCTGCTCTCCTCTCTCCGGGCCTCCACTTCAGTCCGCTCGCTCTCATTTTCATGTCCCCTAATGCGTGACCGTCGGGGACTGAGTCACTCAGACACTCGAGTCCCGGGGCCCGGCCACACTGTCCGGACCGGCCGGCCGCGGCGGCCGCCCGGCCGGGCCCAGGGGGGGCATCCCGGCGGTGACGGTGGCAGCTACGACTCATACATGCCCCATAGCCAGTACTCGTGTCTGACGTGAACGCCCAGGCTATCATAGGAGAGGGCAATGTCCGTGACACCTTCAAGGGCTGCTCAGCACGGTGGTCCCGCCGGGAGCCTCAGTGTGAGTCCGTCGCCTGCCTCCGATCAGATGCCCGGCGCACTGGCAGCCCCGGTCCTTGGGCATTCAATGCACACAGCGCACAGCGAGAAGCTGCACAAACACGCGGCCCACGCGAGGGAGGCTGCCATGGGCACATTTGGAGCACGGTACCGTACCGCTCGGCGACTCCCGGGCCCGGGCCGGCGGCGGCGGCGCCGGCGAGGTGACCCATCCAGTCAGCCTCCGAGTCACCGCGATTCAGTTCCGGGACTCGATCGAGACGGCTGTCTGAAGTTCTCGCAAACCGCGTCCGCGCTCCTGCCTCTTCATGCTCGCGGTGACAGGCTCTGTGAGGAGGACCGTATCGGACCGTCACGCGTCACGGGCGGTGTTGGTCTCGGCTGCCGCTGACTCGGAGGCTAGCGAGGAGGACTACCTCGAGCGGTACCGTGTTCCTGTGTCCAGCCTCCCTCCGTCCGCTGCCCCAGGCGGACCCCCGGGCAACGCCGGCTCCTTGTCGGCGGCTGCCCTTTCTCCGTCCGCGACGCGGCCCGCTTTGTGATGGAATGGGCGGCAGCGGACGTCTCGACTGACAGTGGTCAGTCGGCTGCCTCCGGGTATCGCGTTCTGCCGCTGCCAGTAAATCCTCCCCCCCACCCCCCACCCCCGGCGCGGCAGGGCCCGCTGCGCGGTTTTCCTGCTTTCTCTGTTCCATCTCTACCGTTTTTGGACCTCCTCTTTCACATGTGAGCGTTTTCTTGTCATCTCCTCACACCATTCGTCGAGTTTCTTCAGGTTCTCCCTGTTTTCATTCAAAAATTTGAATTTTCCTGGCGGTCATCTGCATGCTACTTGGTATCTTGGGCTCTGTCGAGACCTCATGGCACTAGGTTTCACTTGTGCTCTGTTCTGATCCTCTCCCTTGTACGGTGGGACTGGCATGCGACGCCCTTCCGCTCTGGCTCCAGTGGCTCAACCTTGCGGAGTTATCGCAACATTTGGCTCCACTACCTGTCACTGGCATGAGGCGTCGAGACCTACCTTGGGCTTTACGGGCGATACCATGTCGCTCGGCTCACCCTTCTTTATCTCCAATGGGTTTGTTCAAGCGGAGGCTCTCCCCCAAGTGCCGAACTCCTGCTCGTCGGTCCAGCTTGCGCATCTACCGGCGTTCCTTCTTTCGACGCTGGGTAGCTCAGGCCCTGAGGCGCAGACTCGGCAGCACTCCTTTCTCTCCTGCTCTGCGTCCTGTATCCGGAGGGAATGCGGTCACCTCGGCACCTGCAGCCCTCGTCCCTCCCACAGCAGCAGCTGCAGGAGTCGGAGCAGCTACAACCGCCCCAGCAGCCCTCGCGAGGGCGGCGGCAACGGCAGAAACAGCAACGGCGGCGGCAACCACATCCGCAGCCGCCGCAGCCGCAGCCGCAGCCGCAGCCGCAGCCGCAGCCGCAGCACCACCGCCACCAGCAGCAACAGCAGCAGCAGCAGCCGCAGCCGCAGCACCCGCGTCAGCAGCAGCAGCAGCAGCAACGCCAGCGTCAGCAGCAGCGTCCGCGTCAGCAGCAGCAGCAGCAGCAACACCAGCAACCACCACAGCAGCGACCACAACCGCGCAGGCCGAGGGAGCAGCGGCAGTCCGGCCAATCGTCTCAGGAGTCTGAGCCTGCTCCTCCGCCGCGACCTACGCTGTCCCTCACCTCTGCGAGCGAGCGCCAAAGACAGTTGGCGATTCATCAGTTCACTGCGGGTGACCTTCATCGGGCGGTACGGACACTACTGAGCTCCGGCATCTACAGGGCTGAATCCGGGTTTCGCTGATCTTCTTGCTGAAGCACAAGAGAAGTTCCCTGATGGTGCGTCGCCTGCCTTTGGACGTGCTTCCGCAGATCATCTCACCCAGCAAGCGCTTGCAATACTGCAGGTGGATTTGACTGACATCCTCGACACCACTAGCCTGATCCAGGCGATGAAGCGCTACAGCTCCTTTGCGGGGACCGATGACCAAGGGTGGAGGATTCGGCAACACCTGTCACCCCTTTCTAGTCATCCTGCAGCTTTGAAGCTCTACTGCAAACATATCCTCCAAGGGGTCCTTCTTGGCCAAATGCCGGATCTTCGAGTCTTATTCTTGCCCTGTCAGCCATTCGTCGAGGAGGCAGATTTATTCCCCTCTCCAAGGGAGCTGATAAACCTGGTCTCCGGCCAATTGTCATCGGTTCTGCACACCGTCGACTCGCGACGAAGCTTGCTTTGGCAGGGATTCGCTCATTTCTTGACCAGCACTTCCTCTCGTCTCACCCTCGAGCGATTCAGTTCGGACTCGATCGAGACGGCTGTCTGAAGTTCTCGCAAACCGCATCAGCGCTCCTGCCCCTTCACGCTCGCGGTGATGATGAGGATGTTGTCCGTGTCCGACGGAATGTGATGGATGTCAGCGCGAGCTCGATCCCTCCGTTGCTGCACATCATCTCCAGACCTGCAAACGCCGATCCTCCAAGCTTCCCACGGCGCATGACAACCTTACTCGTACGATTCGGTCGATGCTGAACGAAGCTGGTCTTCAGAGCGTCATCGATACAGTGGGGGATCCTCGTTCTCGACGGCAGGTACCCTCCCATCCTCATGGCCGCAAGATGAAGGGCGATATCCACATTCCTGGAATCCGCGATCGAGGGTCCGAGCAGTACGAGGGCTTGATGGCGGACGTGACGTTGGTCCACCCTTACATTGGTAGCTCTGCCGACCTGACCAAGTGGGGGGAGGTCAACCTCGACGCCCTCCATGTTGCAGCGTCTGAGAAGATTCGCAAACATCGCGCTGCATATGCCATGACTACTCCTCCTCGAGCGTTCATCCCTCTTGCCATCTCGACGGACGGTACCCTGCATCCTGACACCCTCCGCTTCATCCGGTATCTCGCGGACATCATTGCTCAGCGCTCAATGCCTCTTGAGGATGCGGCGTTTGGTCGGCACTTCGTGCCTGATGACGGACCTGCTGCTGAGGTCTTGGCTCGCAAACGCGCCGCCACCTATCAGCGCCTCACCATGCAGCTGACGCTGGAAGCGCTCTTGCCTGGTGCGAGGCGCATGACGCCCTTGCGGGCGCAAGCACTTCTCGAGCCAGAGGACAGCTCCTCCTCGGACTTTGTCGAGTCGCCCGAGGAGTCTTCGCCGGAGGTCTCCGACTCCGATGGGGTACACCCTTCGAGTGGCCCCGACGATCGGCGCGGAGCTGGCGAGGCGTCTCCGTCCCTCACTGTGACGTCGGGTGCCTCCGGAGAGCTCGACACCACTGGGGTGCTTGCTGCCTCCCCGGCATCGGTCGGGTCACGCCGCCGTCACGGGCGGCTACCACTGACTCGGCTACCGCTGACTCGGAGGCTAGCGAGGAGGACTACCTCGAGCGGTACCGTGTTCCTGTGTCCAGCCTCCCGGCTCCGTCCGCTGCCCCAGGCGGACCCCCGGGCAACGCCGGCTCCTTGTCGGCGGCTGCCCTTTCTCCGTCCGCGGCCGCCCGCTTTGTGGCGGCAGCGGACGTCTCGACTGACAGTGGTCAGTCGGCTGCCTCCGGGTATCGCGTCTAAGGGATTTTATTCCTCCTGCTTGCTCCTGCTGCTTGTTGCTTGATTGCTTGACCCTTAGGCTGCTTGTCTGCGCGGCTTCGCGCTTGGGCTGGCGCTGCCGCGTCTGGGTGCCAGCAGTGCTGGTTCTTTTCGGGCTTGTGTTTTGTGTGTGATTGTGCAGCTTCTCGCTGTGGACTGTGTGCCTGCCGGTTCAGCTTGTTCCTGCTTTGTTTTGCTTGAGGCACTTTTTACCTTCTGCCAGTAAATCCTGTACTGACTCGGAGGCTAG